CGTAAGTAGGTTTACGTACTGACACAGATATATATATATATATATATACACACACACACACACACACACACACAGTATGGAATATAGTATGCTGTTATGTTAAAATTGTATTAAATGTTTTCTTCATTACCCATTCAAGCCATCTCCAAGCATAATTATTATAGTGTTCAGTGTTTAGTAATGATCTTTTTTAAAGAAATGTTGGTTTTGTCTACAAAGTTTGTCTTTCTTTATATTTGTGGTGTATCTAAATTGTTTCCTTGGAGTAAAAAACAACCATTACTGTTACAAATAGTTAGTTTAAGAGTAACTCTCATCATCCTTCCTGCAAAATATACAGAGTTATGTTTTTAGTTGATACAGTAGGTCATTTTATATTTATAAGTTCTTGAGACCATTCCTGCTTAAGTAAAATAAAATCATATGAGGGTAATGATAGGACAAACCACTATATTAAGATGTGTTTTTTTATGTTCTGTAATGGACAAATTAAGTGGAATGTGAAGAAAAACCTGCATTCTATTGTGATTTTTATCACGCATATAATGCTTAATGGTTATCAGAGCTTTAAGGTTTTTGTACTGCATCTACGAAGATTCAGTTGAATTTCTGGCTGACTGTTATTGATATTGAATGAAAGATCTTGTGGTAGAGAAAAAAATAGCTCTGAAATGCTGTTTGTTTTTTTACACACCTTTGGATTGAATAAATTAAGAAAACACATAATCTCGTATGATTTTTTTTATCTTTAATATTAGACCTGTTGGTTTTCACTGTTTCAGTAGATTTAGGTATTCAACATTGTTAATGAAATTTAAATGTGAATGGACTTCTCATAGTGTTGGACATAGAACCCTCATGACCATAATGCTAAGTTACTGATGCATACATTTTCAGTATGTCAACAAACCATTAAAAAAAAAGGATAACAGGTTGTAGTCCATATGATTGGAAGAATTTAATAGCTTAGTTCTTTTGCATATATTCCATTCATTTTAAATATTTTAAATAATTTTTAATGTAAAATTGATTTTATTTTTTATGAACTGACTGATTAAACTAATCTTTTTCTCAGGTTTCTCCAGATGCTTTCATACAGATGGCTTTACAGTTAGCATATTATAAAGAAACTAAGCATTTTCCTCAGACTTATGAAGCTTGCATGACTCGTATGTACTTGTGGGGAAGAACAGAAACTATGCGCTCATGCACTCCTGAATCAGCTGATTTTGTTCGGTAATCAATTGAAGATTTTGTTACTATGTTTTTAAATAGATAAGTACCTTCAAAAACTGTCTGTATATATATATATGTGTGTGTGTGTGTGTATATTTATATATAAAGATTCTCCAATTTTATGCTATGACTTTCAGATATGTCACGTTAATGTTAGTTTATTTGTAGAATGTTGATGAAAGTCAACTTCAGTTACAAGGTTAAGAATTTTGTAGTCAAAATTTGGTTTCTTAGTTAAATTGCAAAAATATTACTTATGATTTTCCATGAATAGTACAGTAGGTAGTATATTCAAGTTTGCATGAATTGTAGCTTTTATAATGGTAACTTAATTTTAAATTAGCTCTCTCGAAGTCTGAGTTCCCATTACACTATATGACAAGACCATTCCCACATTACTGTTTTCTGTTTTTCTCTCAGTTTCCTGTGTAATAATGTCTTGACTTTTCACACAGCTTTCTTTGGTATAACAACTAGCATGTACAGAAATTGTGTATAATTTTATAAACCTCTGTCTACGTTGAGATTGATATAAAACACAAATTTGTAGATTCCTTAAATTTATTTTATTTAGTGTTATTAATTTTTCATATGAATAATTTCACACCAAAACTTGTTGTATGTTTTACTTTTTTTAATTAATACATCTGTATGTATATTGGCAAATCTAATGATTGTGTATAGTCGTAAATATAAAAAAAATCCTGTGAATTTTCACCTTTTGCAGGAAACAGGAATCATTATCCAAATTTTGTGGAAACTTTGCAAAACATAAAATATATGTGTACAGGTGTGAGTCATGGAACTAAAAATGCTACAGACTGGCTTTGTTTAAATTCTGAAACAATACTGAGAGAAAACATTATCAAGGCAGTGTAAAACCTGGACAGTTTTGTGACTTAGTCTATATATATCCAATTGTTGATCCAGTAAACTGAGAAATAATTGTTTCCATTTGGCAGGATATAATATTAGATTATATTAAAGCTACAAGTTGTAAGCTACTTTATTGGTTTGACATCTGGTAGATATTCTGACTTTTACATACTTTAAACTTTCATTTGATTACTTCTAGCTAAGTACTTGTGGATCATGTTTCTTGTAGGGACCATTTATTGCCTTTTTAAAAAAAATTTTACCATGTGACATTAATTAAAAATGCTGCATTTTAGGTAAAAATAAAAAAATGGCCAATCACGTGCTCTTTCTAAAATATGTTACATCAAGACTAAAAAATTATTAAGTTATTAAAAGTGAATATGAACTCAGATCTGTCATTGATTCACCACTTGTCACTGAGTACAGTGGTTTTAGGTAACTTCATCCTTCATCAGATGACCATAAACCCCATACATATTATCATTAAGACTTGAAGTTTTAACTTAGCAGGCTTGCAAATGTTTTTGTGGAAGACTAATAAGACCAGAACAAATTTACAGAACCTTTGTTAATTTTGTATAATGGAGATTTCCAGCACCCAGTGTTTAGCTTCATCATCATGTAAAAAGTTAAAATTCTTTTAGGCTGATTTCTAGACAATAAAAAGTCAGTAGATGATAATACTTATACAAAAGGTTGAGTACTTTATATTAAAATGATTTTGTAGCCTGATTACCATGCATATTGATTGTAGCTGTGCATGCATTTTCTGTTGCAGAAGGCTTTGTTGTATGACTTTAATGTTCAAAGCACATAGGTTCTAAGTATTCTTTTCTCTGCTTAAGAATATAAGAAGGTTGTTAAGACTTTGTTGTCCTTATACAAAGTTTCAAGGCTTATTATCATCTGTCTCTAAAAAATTTAAATTGTCAGTGTTCTTAGAGAGGAGAAATGGAATAATTCGAAGACAAGGATGAATAAAAGAAGGTTATTGATAAACTAATAGTCCATGAGTTGTAGTTGTAATGCCTTGTAGTTACATTATTAGTTGAAATTCTTTGTCTTATTTTATGTATTTTCCCCCCATATATACATAGAGCAATGATGCAGAATAGCATTAGCAAAAATGAGAAAATCAGACTTTTGAAGAGAGCAGCTGAAGTACACCAAACAATGTATAGAGATGCTATGAATGGGATGGGAATTGATCGTCACTTGTTTGCTCTGTATGTTGCCTGCAAGGGTTTAAACTATGTAAGTTCTTGCAATTTTTATAAAATTGGTAAATATTAATATTTGTGTTAAAATAGCACAATTGTTAAAAAACTGAAACTTGTAAACATTATTGTTGTTAGTTTTTCTGTAAGTTTTGAAATTTTTTATTGTATTTCATTTTTCATATCCTGATGTTTACAATGTCAGTAAATATAAAAGCTAAAAATGTTATTTAGATACTTTTGTCATTGCATAGTTCTTGAAATGTAATTTTTAGAATTGAAAATAGAAAGATATAGATAAAATTATTGCAAGGAACTGTAGAGCTTCTAAATTTAAAGTGATTTTTTTTTTATTCTCCTTGGTGGACTAAGTGTACATTTGAAAGTGTATTATTGCCTGCTGAATTGATAAAATGACACTGTTGTGAAAAGTCACCCGAATATTATTATAGCAGCTCCTTCATTTGAGTTAATGAATTTGAGTTTTTTTCAAGGAATAACAGTTAACATAATTTGGAAATTGTTAAATGCAGGAAGGAAGAATTTATTGAAGTTTAGCGTGTTAGCAATTCTTAGAACAAGAGAAGGCTTGTATATTTTTATAACACACTGAATGGAAATTATTTTTGATTAAAATTAAATCAAAACCTGAAATTATGGAAGTTTGATTTAGACAGTGTAGGAATTGAAGTTTCTAATTTAAACCAATGAGAATAAGAATTTTAATTAATGATCCACAAGTTTGAAACATGTGATAAGTGTCATTATATTTACTTAGTTTTGAAAAATGTTATTTACACTCCAAAAAGAGTCTAGTGTGAGTGGAAATAAGTAATGAGCTTTGGTCAGTGCTGGACATCACACACATAGTTACTCCAAAATACAATTTATGTTAAATGCACTTAGCTTCAAGTTAATTTAGTATTAGTAAAGTGACCACAAAGTTTTGTGTGTACAGATGGGAAAGCATTAACAACTGTGATATATACATATAAAAAAGGGGATTTGGTATTGTCTGAGCTTTTACTGTTTTTCATGTTTATGGATTTTAACACACACATATTTTATGTAATCAGTACCTTACATTTAAAACAAATTTTTGGTTTTTGTTAGGAGTACTTTTTTTACATAAATAGCATTGAATAGTATTAAACAGGATTCTTAATGGATTAAATGACAACTTCATAATCATATATTTTAATTAGTACTTTTTATGGGGTGACAACATGTTACAGAGTGTCCTTCATAACTTACTTTAATGATTTGCATATCCATTCACCTTGCCCTATGGCTATCCCCATGACCTGTTGAAGTTTTGATTCTCTTGTCTTAAAACATTTGAAGCATGGTGATTTGTGAGTACAAGTGGTTCATGAAATTGACCCCTTCTGAGAGTATTACTCAGAACTTTTCAGTGCAGAAATCTATCATCCTGTGATTGTAAAATCAAACTAGATATGATTTAAAGCTGTTAAGAAAGGGGTACCTATTTTGAACAGTATTGATAAAGCAAGGGAAAACATAATTCCAGCAAAGAAACAAATGGGTCACTTTGTGATCAGCTGTTAGTCATATGCTGCAAGCAGTAAAAACACTTAAACAACTTGTCATTGGAAGTAACTTAAGAACACAACAGTCAAATGCAACTGAAGTAGAAACCTTCCTTGGAATTGTAGGCAAGATTATTAAAAAAAGTTTTCAAAAATGACACTTTAGCCATGTTTAGATGCTTCTCTCAGAAAACGTAGCTAAATGGAAAAATCAAATGTCATAAGAGTAGGAGCGGTATCTGATATGTGGCAAGTGGAACTATATCATCATATTGGACAAATCATATTTCTACTTAAGTGCCTGCAGAAGTCAGGGCAATTTATTTTCATCCTGCTGGTGAACATTTTAAAAGTAGTAAAGAGCATGTGACAAAACATTTTCCAAGGGATGGTAAGTTAAAGATCTGGAGAGTTGAGAAACATTCCTAGGTCAACTCTGGATACTATTAGGCTAACATGCTGAAACTACTATACTGTAAAGAAACACCACTTTTATATGGACTGGATATCATTAACTTGTGGTAGCCATGACATTTTACAGAGTTACATTCAAAACTTAATTAAACTATTTTATTATCAATGTACATCAGTTAACTTGGAATCAAAATGTAGTTTTAATTCAAGTTCTTATGTTATCTAAATTTTGATTTCTTAATTCCAAAATTGAAATATCCAAATAAATTTTCAGTCTTCACTTCTCTGTATATTATGACACTTCTTTGATCTGAATTGCTCATTTTAGATATTTTTTGAGACTAAAAAGAAATAGACCAATAAATACTAATTTTCTTGTTTTCTTAAATATATTTTTTTAATTATTGTTATAAGTAACTAAAAATGTAAAAATTAGAAACTATTGGGTTACATAACAAAGCTTAAATGAAAAGAAAATTAAATATAGAAAATTTGTCAATGGGGAATGTCACGAGTTGCTTGCTTGTGATGTAATTCAATACTTTGTTTACTGTAACTTGCACCTTGCTCTTATTGGATGATGTATTACTTCCTTATGCTAGATTAGTTGTTAGACATGGTTCAAAGAGCAACAAAACAATAACATTAAATGAAAGCTGTTGTGAAAAGATTTAGAGACTGAAGATGATTTCACTACAGTTAATGTTAGGGTAAAATAAAATAACTTGATATTCATTTAGTAGGTTCTAATGGTTATGTAAATGAAATACAAGATGGAAAAAGTATTCTTATTCTTAACATAAAAGTCATCGTGCATTTAGACTATTTAGAGTCTGAGTCAGACTAAGTAAATTACATTCAAATTGTTATTAGAAATACTTTATTAAAAATTTTGATATTTTTGTACACCATACTTGTAATGTTTACTAAAAGCTTACCAAATTTTGTCAAGGCATACTTAGTCATTCAGGATTATAGTAAATGTTAATTTTCCAACATGGGCTCAGTCCAGTGGACTGACTCCGTTCACATATAGCTCTATCAAGACAAAACATACAGCTACAATTATTAGTCAACATGCAATTTTCTCTGCATTCATGAAGGGGAATTTATGCTATACTGTTCACAGACATCTAAAGTTGGTTACTCAAAGGATTTCTCCAAAATCATCAACTGCACATAAAGAGGAGAAGTCTCCTGCAGTGCAAATATCTGCTGCATAGCAATAGTCCATAACCAGAGTCGTAATATGGATTATTGTTGATGAAAGAGCTGTAAGAGCTCAGCACTCATCCTTATATCATTCCATAGATTTTTTATTCATCTAACAATAGGGCTATTTTTGCATCATTTTCCTTGTGTACAGTGTAACTTAATATCTACACAGTCTTCTAATGCCATCTCATTAACAAGCCTACAGCAAAATGAATACTAAAACAAGAACCTTGTGTATTTACTTTGAATTGATTCTCTCTCTCTTGAATATTAATTTAAACTTTTGATATTAGTTGTTCTGATGATACCTATATGCAGTATTATATAATTGAAACTTATTTTTATATTAGTTTGTGTATTATTCTCTTATGCTAGCATTATGATTTTTAGAGAATATTGGCTTTATCTTCAATTTGCATCAGTGAAAAACATTATATTAAGGACATCTGTAAGGAAAACTTAAATAATCATCAAGAAAAAGCAACAAACAACTGTAGTAGAAAAACTGTAAAACATACTCTAAAACTTGTCATACGAATCACAAAAAACAATAAAATAACATATCTGGTAACCTGTACTTAGTGAACTAAGCGTGTAATTGTTACTGCATTTAATCAGTTTTGCACATGGGTCTGTTTTATGTGCGAGTGGTATCCTGCTGATAGTTTTCTGGATTACAACTACTGGAAATGTTTTCTTTTATTGACTTGTTTTGAAAGTGAAACATGTGTGACTGATATCCTGCTGATAGTTTTCTGGATTACAACTACTGGAAATGTTTTCTTTTATTGACTTGTTTTGAAAGTGAAACATGTGTGACTGATATCCTGCTGATAGTTTTCTGAATTATAACTACTGGAAATGTTTTCTTTTATTGACTTGTTTTGAAAGTAGCATGTGTGTGACTGATATCCTGCTGATAGTTTTCTGAATTATAACTACTGGAACTGTTTTCTTTTATTTATTTGTTTGGAAAATAGCATGTGTGTGTGACTGATATCTTGCTGATTGGTTTATTGATTACAACTACTGGAACTGTTTTATTAATTTGTATGGAAAGTGAAACATGTGTGACTGATATCCTGCTGATAATTTTCTGAATTATAACTACTGGAATTGTTTTATTTTATTGATTTGTTTGGAAAGTAGCATGTATGTGACTGATATCTTGCTGATTGGTTTATGGATTACAACTACTGGTACTGTTTTATTAATTTGTATGGAAAGTGAAACATGTGTGACTGATATCCTGCTGATAATTTTCTGAATTATAACTACTGGAATTGTTTTATTTTATTGATTTGTTTGGAAAGTAGCATGTATGTGACTGATATCTTGCTGATTGGTTTAGGGATTACAACTACTGGTACTGTTTTATTAATTTGTATGGAAAGTGGCACATGTGTGACTGGTATCCTGCTGATAGTTTTCTGAATTATGACTTCTGGAACTGTTTTCTTTTATTTATTTGTTTGGAAAATAGCATGTGTGTGACTGGTTTCTAGATTACAGCTACTGGTACTGTTTTATTGATTTGTGTGGAAAGTGGCACTACAAGAGAAGTTTCAGGCACAGTATTGAACACTTGTATAATTCTGTTTGTCAGTTATAATATACCAGGTTTTCACAGGACCTTTAAATCCAGGAAAGTCATAGGAAATGCGCTCCAAAAATTCAGTACTGAAAATCCAGTCAAAATGTCTGTTTTTAATTCATGATCCTGGAATAGTCCTAAACTTTTATTTTCAATAAAAAAAATAGTGCAAAATGTAGTTTCATTATTGAAGTTAATTTTTTTATATTTCTTGTTGGTTGTTGTGAAACTCATGTCTCACAAGATATGTGCAGTTTCCACTGACAGGCAAATTTGATGAATGAAACTGCCAGGAAAATGCAAGTTTAATCCTGTGTGGCAGGTTTAGAATGTTCTTGAAATTTGAGTACAAATCTTGGAAAAAAACCTTGGAAAGTCTTTGTGTAAATTTTGTATGAACCTCATTGTGATAAGAGATGCCCCAATGCTGCAGTTGTGTTAAAACAAATGTATGTATGTATGTATATATATATATATATATATATATGTAAACATAAGATTTTATATGTGTTTGCTAATATTGCTTACCTGATTCTTGTATTTATTACCTTTTTGTTGTGAATAGGAGAGTGAGTTTTTAGAAAACATTATTCATAGACCTTGGACACTGTCTACAAGCCAGACTCCTCATACACAGCTAACCACTACACCTGATGTCAATCTAAAGACATTTAGTAATAAGGTAAGTTAAGACTGACAAGTGGATTTAATCATAACTTTAAACAAAATATAATACAACCAATGACCATTAATTTTTACATCAACAGAAATATTTCATAATAAGATAGATAAACACTGATCTCTTCCTTTTACCAAAATCTTAACTTATTCAACTTAAGTTTAATTAGTAGAAAAATTCTAAAATTCCAAACAGTATCAACCTCAAAATTCTTAATAAAAAAGTCGGCAGAAAATACCATCCACTTATAACAACTGTGAAGCACTATGTAACAAGCAATTGTAAATTGATCAATCTTACAATTATTAGTAACAGAATACATTATTACCTACAAATGCTGCTGTCTGTCTTTATCAACCCTAAGATATACAGTAGGTAATGACAGCATTTACCACTACATTGTTTAGCAACCTTATCATGAACCATGATAGTGGTCCATAATAGGGATTGCACAAAAACCTAATAGAACATTCAAGAAAAACACACCTTAAACAGTTAAGATTCAGTTCAAACAACACTTTGAAACATTTACTATTGACTGCTAAGGCTGTACACATATAAAAAGGCATGCATGTTAAACTTACAAGGAAAAGAAAATATGTTCAAAAGGTCCATTTGTAGTTATTATTCTGTTGCCAGCCTACAAGAAAAATGGCTTAGTATATTGTACCCAAACCTTTTGTAGAATACTAAATAAGGTACTACGAAGGTACTATTGAAAAGTCCATTTGTTCCTTCTATATTTTACATAAGCCAAAAAACATCATAATTTTAGTGTAAACAATGTTATCATTACACCCTTGAAGTTAGTTTTCTTACTGATATCTGGTGTTCCTTTGAAAAGCTTAAGAACAGGATGAAACAGGAATTACTAGCCAATAATAGATAAATATTAGGTGATTGTAAAATGAAGATACTCAATGCTTTATACACTATACAATTGGTGTCTTTAGGGAACCAACCCCTATATTATGTATGAAGTTAAGGAGCAAAAAAAGAAAATCCAAACACATAATATTAAATTTTATGACACACACTTGTTCAGTGTTCAATGTGTTACCCTAAAGACATGCAGCAAACTATACAATCCATCATTGAATCCATTCTTCCTATTAATCTTAAAATATTCAAGAAAAATGTCATCCTAAAAATACTGAAGAATAAATTTGGCCAGCAATGGTCCTTGTTCTGTATCACAGTCTAGATAAATTGGGTAATTTAAATTTATTTATTATTTACATTTGATTTTCAGCAGTCAACATTTTTTTTTTCAGAGCAAAATTTTGTACAGTCATTCATTACTGGTTTTTTAAGTATTTGGACATGCTTATTTATTTATATAGAGAATATATTATATATATATATATATATATATATATTTATTCTATTCTTATGTAAGCAAGTCAACAGTTTCTACGCATTCTTCCTTTAACATATGCTAGTTTTTGTTGTAAATATAAATTATCTTTGATATTTTTTTTCTGTTGTGAAAAGAAGTGCAGGAAATAAGATTAACATTAATGATAATATTTTTTTTCACTGATCGAAATGTTGATAGTGATATTTTTCTAGATGTAGTTCCAAAAACAAAAATCTTGCTTTAAAGTATTCCTTTTTTTTAATAGTGATAATTTGATAGTGTAGACTTTATCAGGAAATATTGGAACATAACAAACTAGATGCAACAAATATGATTTAGGTACAATACAATCCTTAAACTGATGGTCAGAAATATAACTCTTCTGACATCATGCTACAACTGGAAAAAACTGGTGTTAAGCAAGAAGTATAAGTACAATATTTTAACTTATTGTTTAGATATTATTTTGATAATAGCACATTGTTACTTTAACCTCTACAGTAAAAAACAATAAAATTAAAATACTAATATTTACAAAAAAACTCAAATTAGATTTAAAATAAAAAATATTCAAATGTGAATACATCAAGGTTATATCAAACTGTGTAATTACTGTGATATACTTTATTGGCCTGATTATAAGGTGATGTTTTTTGATTAATAATTAAGCTGTAAAATTCATGGTTACCTTATTATCGTGGCCGACCACAGGCTCCTTCCTCCTTCTACTCTAGCCTGTTGCATTCCTGAATGTCTCGATAGCATCTGTCTATGCATGTGTGCCAGATGTTCGCTCAAGGACATCTCTAATTCTTGCAACTAATCCACCTGCAGGCTGTTTAGTTATAGTATTGATTTTGCAGTCCTAAAAAAAGGACGTTATGACACTCAATTTTTTTTCTCTCCCATGGTTTTTGAAAATGGGGGTTGCCTTATATTCAAGATCGCCACATAATCAGGCCAATATGGTAATTAGTTCATTTTTTTATATAATTTTGATGTAAGAGTGTAAAATAATATTTAGTTATCCTGTGCAGATTTAGATCCTTCAAAAGAAAAATCAACCTTAAATGTATATAAATATATAGCAGACATCTGAGTGGTAAAGATGTTAACCTTTTTTTTGGTTCATAGAACAAATAATATGGTATTTCTTAATCACTGTTCATTTAGTTTTGGTACAAGTAAAAATCCTGATCTTTAATACTGTATTTTCAAAATGATTGAGTTCAAAGTTTTGAAGGAGGTGTTTGGTAACTGTGTCATTAGAACTTGCTGTTATCTTGGATATATTTATTAAAACAATATATAAGAGATGTCATCTTTTGTCAGTTTGAATATGCATGTTTCTTTGGAGCAGTGATTGATTTCTTCACAATTAAAATTTATAATGTTTTACAACAGTAGTCTTGAATTGTAAAAATGAAAACAATTACTGCTTGATAAGCTAAAAATAGTAAAAATAGCTTCTTTTTTTTTTCAGCTTGGCCCAGGAGGAGGATTTGGACCTGTATCAGATGATGGTTATGGGGTGTCCTATGTCATTCCAAATGACCACAAATTTTTCTTTCATGTTTCTTCTAAGCGGTCTTGCCCTCACACTGACTCTGAACGGTTTGTTCAGCTGATATTTGATAGTTTAGAGGAGATGCGGAGTCTTTATGGTTCAGAGTAATCATTAAACTCAGGGAAATGTTTTACTAGAGTGTTTGCAACAGAAGCATTAAGTTTGTTCAGTTTTCTGATTAAGTACACTTATATTACTTATTGTTGCTTTTTATATCATTATAGCAATCTACAGAACACAAGTCTGTATTTAAAAATTGAAAATTCTCATGACATTTGCAAGTTCAGAAAAATATTAGTTAAGAATTGAATATAATAAGTGCAATGAAATATTTGGCCTGTTTTCTCCTGAAAAGACACAAGATTCTGTAGTTGATTAAACACATTGCTCATAATACTTAAAAGAACTTAATTGCCATTCTTGCCTTGATGATGTACAGTAGCTTATGCTGTTATTTTCCAACAAAACTTTTTGTTTAGATGAAATGCTGGTTGTATAAGTGAAAATTTGTTTTAGTGTCTATGCAGTGTCATGGTTTTAATTGGAAAGTAGTTTGTTATTATACATCTTAGCATAGTGCAGCTTTTTTTCATATAAAAAGTTGTCAAATTATACTTTATTTTTTATTACATTAACACAGTAGATGTTTTAGTTGGAAGTCTGTTTATTGTACTGCAGTCAAGTCTCAAAAAAGTTTCTGCTCATATGAAATGGACGAACAGTAAATACATACGTTGAACTGGATCTTTGATCTCAGAAAATGAAAAAAGTTCATTGACATACAAGTTGGATTCTCATCTGATAGTAGTATAACCATTGTTGTTGTAATTTAATTTTGTTCTTTCATCATAAGAAATTGGGGGGTCAGTTAATGTAACTCATATAACTATTTAAAAAAGAATTATTTTCTTGTAGTTGACATAACCATTATTTAAACATAAATTGGATTAGGGCAACCATAAAATTAAGCAGTTTAACTAACATAAATTAATTTGAATCTCTTATACACAAAATGTTCCATTAAGTTTAAAATAACCATATCATTTATTGATAATACCTGATGTTATAGCCATGTGTAAGAAGATTCTGTAAAATAATTAAATTTCTTGAGCACACCAGTACAACTGAAACCTGAACTAAACTGGGTTTAATTTAAATGTAATTATGAGAATGAATGATTGTGCATTTCTCATATTTATATTGGTTTAAACCTGAAAATTCATTAGTTTATATTTTGTTACCATGTTGGACTTTACCAGTAGTATTGTTATTCAATTTATACAAGTACTTTTTTTTTCTTCACTTATTTTATGTTGTTATAGTGCCAGAACTTTTATTGTAGTCCAGAGATTTCTTTTATGGCACATTTTGTACTCTCATCTTAAACTAATTCTAGTTTAAATATGTAGGAAAAACATTTACTACAGGAGTTGTGTGTGGTATAGAGATATCAAGTTGTTTAAAACAGTGTTAAACTTTCATAACCCTTGTTTGATAATTGCTTGACATCGTAATTTAAGCAGCTTGAGTCTTAAATGTCATTAAAATTGAAGTGAAAAGCTTTGCTAAATATGTAAATGTTTTAATACCCATTGAATGTTGAAAAACAAATCTAGTTGTTTACCACTTGGGGAAATTTATTACTGGAGGTTAATAAACCAGTGTGTTTGTAAAACAGTAAGAAACATACAAAATAGTATGTCAAAAATAGTATTCGGTATCATATGAAAAAAATAATTATATTGCTGCATATACAAAGGTGAATGCAAATTGAAAACTTGTTTTGAAGACAGATTTTTCCTTACATCATGTGATCATAATGAACTGAAATAGTTTAATACATAATTTGCTGAGATTTAAGAATTCTATACAATTCTTTACAACTAAAGGCAGAAGTTTTAGCCTAGAACAGAATATCATCAAAAACTGTTGTTTCCTGATGTAGTTTGTTTTCATGACTTGCTAAGGGGTGTTACTTGGTTATTTTGTTAGTAGTATGTTTTCGGGCATCCATTTCTTACATTCCATTCTGAATATTTATTGGTTATTATTTTTAAGTTTTAGCCTTTCAGATTCATTTTAAAATTGAAGTACTGATTTTTGAAAATGAGTTGGAAAGCTAGTTGAATGTGTGTAAGCAAAATATCATTTAATGATGATTCAGAGGAATAGATAAACAGAGTAACTTGAAAGAAAGGTTACTAAGGGTTTATAGCTTTTCTATAAACAAAATGTTAATTATCTATTTAAAACTTCTTATATGACACCATTTAAACTTATTTAAATGTAATGTATTGTTTTAGCATTTATAATTGTCATTAGTAGTAATTTTTTTAAATTAAAGTTGTTGATTCGAGAAGTATGTTTTTACAAGTGATTTATAATTGTGATTTATGAACTTCCCAGTTAAATACATACACAGTTATGTTTCATGCTATAGTGTTGTTAAATCTCTGAGCAGGATGATTTGTTGTGGTGTTCTCATTATCTTTTAATGTGATGCATAATGGTGACATTGATCATTTGACAAGGCCTCACAAGCATATAAAGGTATTTGATAGCTGTATTAATCTGATATGCTGCTTTGAACACAATTTTCATATGATTAGATTTCACAGGTTGTGTGTGATATCTGGAAGCAAGTAGAGTAGAATAGTACACTGGTAAATAAGACCATAAAGTGGTCCTAATTCAATGTTTGATTTATCATTCTTCTTAAAAATAATGGGATAGACAGAAAAACGTATTTCTTAAAAGAAAATTTCTACATCACACAAACTACCAATTAAAAAGATCATGCTTTACCAGTCCAAATATTACACACCAAAAAATTTGATATATTTCGGTGTGTTGTAATCTTTCAAATAATATATTTCATAGTCTTCATTTTCTTAGAAAAGCTTTAACTTTGCTACTGTAATTTATTTACTAGGCTATGACTTATTAAAATTAAAACAATAGAGATTTACGCTTTCTTTATCCTTTTTTAGAAGTACCTTCACTGCATTGTATAATATAAAAATGATGATGAAGATAATTAACTTGGGTATCACTATAGCCAACAGAATGATTTTAAGGAAAAGATACTGTATGTAGATTTTATATAAATTGTTTTACTGTGATTCTTTGTGGGTGTTTTTAACAACTTGTTATATGAAACATTCCAGTTTAATTTTTGTTTTCGTGTAACAAGAACTTAAAAAGTAAAGTTTTTTTTTCTTGTAATAATTGTATAACAACTTATATTGGAAAATAAACGTGAGTATTTATGAATACTTTTAAATATTTGACTTTTTTATCATATTTTTTAAAGTTGAAAGATATGAGTGAGTTATTGCACATTTATTTAATTCTTGTAAAAATAAATCAGTTTTAGCATTTTTTATTACATATTTACTGAAAATCCAATTAATAACTTATAATTTTTTTCTTTTATTCTGTTTATCTGACATTCCTAGTTTTTAATGCTACATTATTATACTGTTCATGCAATTTAAATTAAAACAACATTAAATATAAAGGAAAAATTTTCTCTCTGAATTTTAAGCTGGTATATGCTTATTTCTGTTGAGCTTGTTTCTTAATATAGGTAATAGTGTACTACTTAGGAAATGAATTAGATGAAACAGCTGATTCTGCTGTAATATGTGTTAACAAGATAATCTCAGTACTTGGAAATTGTGTGATGATAAAAAGCAATTGAGCTTGTTCCAGTTTTCTTCTCTAGCAGACTATTAAGAAATTAATGTAACTAATAGTAGTTTTCATATTACTATCAAATATTTAATGAAGCCTGTGTTAAGGAAGACTGAATAGATAGTACAAAGGGAGGTAACCTAAAAGTTTGAGAAGGTTCACACAAGAAAATAAAATCGGAGAGTTATTGGAGCTGTTTTTTATTTTCAAAGTAATTGAATAAGTGCCTCTTGATGTACGCTCAACATTTTAAAAAGTGCCAAAAATCATTAGAAATAGCTACAAATAATGCAGATTATTATTCATTTCTGTCCAATGAGTATTTTCAAAGTAACATCATTAAATACTGTAGAAATGCCCTGTAAATTGCTCAGAAATTTGAAAGTTCGTGTGTTTGTTTTGCAAATCATTTGAACCATTGAGAATTATTGACATTACTGACTGACTTTTAGTGTTTTGCAGTACTATACTTCAGTAAATAGTAATTTTTTCTGCTAAACTTGCTCAGAATGTGATAAGAAAAAGAATTTATTGCTGCTTATGACTTTAATGCTGTGTAGAGTTTTATAAAATGTTTGAATTAATGATATCTATTGTTAATGGTAGCTTCTGCAGTGTTTTGTAAACGTTTGTAAGTAGATGAAAGATGCTGTTGATGATGACAGTTTGAAGTTGTTCTTTTTTAATGAATACTTAAGATAAATACTAGATTTGCTAATGTAATTTACGTTAATCAAAACAAAGTTATTGTTAATAGGGATTGGAATTTTATAATCTTTCAGTATTAATTACATTAGATTTGCTCATGAATGCAGTGTACTATTTTACATACTGTCATGTTATTTTTTAATGTCTTTATCAGCTGTTAAAATAGGTGTAGTGTGTGTGTGAATGTGACAGGTGGTGTGAAAAGATATTTGGTATTCTTTGTTGCTCTCATCTCAGTCTAACTTTTATGAATAACTAGCTTGTTGCATCGAAACCTACCATTTTAAAATTAGAATCTACCTTCAGAACTGTTGTTACGTTAACATATAACAAAAGTATAGATTATGTTTTGATATGTTAGCAGAGTTGTATACCTGATTTATCATATAGTGAGAAGATATTATGTTTGAGTTGATTAACAGTGTGATTAATTTTAAATGTACAAGTAAAATGGTACATATTTATGGGCATAGGTGTAATTTCAATATATAATTTTTGTTGCTTCTTCCATAAATAACAGTTTGCAGTGTTTAAGCCAGAAGTGTTGTTATGCACTAGTGATAACACAGTAATGTTTTGCTCATGAATCATAAAACAAACATGATTCATCTACAATCCCAAAGAGATGTTTTTCTTAAAGAAACTTTTGTTAATTAAGCTAACCTTATCACATTGCTTGGTGTTTAATTACTGAAGTACACATTCATTTCAACCATTCGTTTGGTAATGGGAAGTAATATGGTTGATAAAAATATATTTCAATTTACTTTATTTTTTATTTACTCATAAGTAGGATTTTTCCAAAAAAAAAGTATTTTTTATGATGCTGATCAGAAATTTATACTAAGATGTTTACAACTGAAAAATTAAGAAATATCAGAACTTTCAAAGATATATTAAGATTTCCACTTGTCACTTGTACCGTTAGTGTAAAGTAATTTAAGTCTGTTATGTGTTTTATGGACAAGTCTTTGAGTAATTAAAAGTTGTCTTAAATTTTTACATTAATTAAAGTTATTTCGGTTATTAGTAGCACGTTTATACAATTGTTATTGAATACATCTGTGCATCATTTATTTGATTTTCTAAACAGAACTATATTATTTTACCAAAGGATTTAATAAGTTATGAATAGCCAGTAATTAATATACAAAATTAACTAACTTTAGTGTACCTTCACTATGTCAGGCACCTGTTTAATTATCCATGTTACTGGAATGTATACTTTCTTATGTTAATACAACTAAACACAATAATCATGTGTATTACGTTTTGATTTTATTGACAAGGAAACTGTAGTTATTATTATAAACATGTGGTTTCTCCATTTGTTACTTCTATAGTACTCTTTGTTGTTCTGATCTTGGGTTACAATAGTGTCTCTTCAGAGGATGTAGAACAGTGTATCATATAAGCTTTTATACCATACCAATGTAACAAGTTTTCAATAAAGTTTTGTGGTTCTTTATCTGAAAAATACGTTGTTATACTTTTGGGAAAATATGATCAATCGCTCGTGTGAAAGTAAGTGGATATTAATAATTTCTTAAAGTAACTCGTGTTGTGAACACCTCTGATCTTTATATAACAAGTAAGAAATGTGACAGAGTATAACATTTAAAATCATTTTGATACATACTAAAATTGCAGTATGTCCCCTTAGTTTATATTATCAACATTGTTTTAACTTTAAAGTTTTGACATAACTAAGTTAAAATTATTTTTGAGATGTGAACACCAAAACATTTATATCAGATGTACTAAATAATCTGCACCAAAATTTGCCCCTCCATGGTGACTCGATATTAGACTTTGGGGTTTGTAACACTAAAATTTAGGGTATGGTCTCCATGACAAGCACAGCACAAATAAGTAATTGCTGTAGTTTTGCTCCAAGGAGACGCACTGAAATGTATTTGTACTAAAAACAATTTTAGACTTGTTTGTACATTTTTTAAGCTTTTAGTGTCTCAGGACATCAGTTTTCAGAAAGATTACTTAATGTTGGAAGCTACAATATGTTGAATATTTAAGTGTTTTTAGTTACACAGGTGCAGGGCAAATAATACGATTCTGACAGGGTTTTCAGTTTAAATATACAAATCATGTGGTATAACTTTTCACCAGCTGTTACAAGGTAAAAAAAAAGAGCCAAAAGTGACAACACTTCGGTCAAGTTTTTCTTGGAATGTGACAGTTTTAATGTACGGATACCATAAAGTGTCGGGAGTACCAGGCGATCATTATAAAAGTTGTTTCATTATAGATCGAAACAATATCGCTAAACATGGTAGTGCTCAGTATGTAAGGATGGACCGAAAGAAAAAAATAGCTGCCGAATTCAATCTACTACTTTATGATGCTTACAAATAACTGCTCAAGTTAATGTCTTATTTGAGCACCTAATTGCCATTATCGAGTGTTTCACAGCTTGTGAGTTTCCCAGTATCATTGAAAAGTGTTGCTAGAGTGAAGAACTAGGAACTAGCTAAAGAACCAAAGTGTTCATTTTTCTTTTCCCACACTAGCCAAAAAAATGTGGAAAGTTTTCTCAATGGCTTTAGTACGACAGAAAAACATTTTAGGATCACTTGGGAAAAGCCTATCACTAAACACGGTAGTACTTAATATAAGCTAACAAAATCATAATTCTAGTATAAACGATGTTATCACTATTTCTTGAATTTAGCTTTCTTACAGAAATCTGGTGTTCCTTTTAAAAAGCCTAAGTACGCGGTGAAACGGGAATTACCAGCTAATAATAGATGAACATTAGATGGCTGTAACGTGTAGAATACTCGATGCTTTGTACACTATACAATCGGTGTCTTTAGGGAGCCAACTCCTATACTATGTATGACGTGAAAGAAAATCTATACACAAAATATTAAAATTTATTATACAAATTCATATAATACACTAAATTTCAGTCAAGTAGTAAAAAAACATTATGTAAATGTAAAATGGTGTAGGGATGGCAGTGCCAAAAAGAAACCAAACATGAATATAGGGTTGATGCATCTATACATTTTTCATATGATCTTTCCTTAATGTAGGTTCCTCAACATTAAGTCCCAAGAAGTCAAGATTGTGACCAGTGGTGATTAATAATTCAATGTAGCCAATCGTATGGTATGATATCAATATATGAGGTCAATGTACATGTGCAACGAAGAAACTGACAAACTGATATGATGTTAAGAATATATATTACATTTGAATTATAAAAATCAAACAAA